ATATTATATAAGCCTACGCAATAATATTTTTGAAAACATGAGTATTTAGATGTGACGCAAAATATCATGGAATTTTCCTTATTTCTAAAGAATGACCCATATAATGTAAACTACAGGGTGAACACCTCAAAATATGAGTAAAAATTATTAAAAATTATAAAACTTACAGTTAATTATGTAACTTATTATTTTTAGAAGTAAAATATGTTAATTTATAGCGATCAGTTTTATCTTCATGCTTCTTATAAGTTCCTTATTCTATAGAACCTCTGTTCATTTTAACACCCGCTTCCAACAAAAAAAATAGATTAGTCTTAATCATTGGGAAACCACTATAAAAAATTCACCAACACCTACTCTATATCTGCGGTGGTGTGGAAATGAGGTTAAAGTTTCATTTATTTTTTCTCATAATTGATGCAATTTACGTTCATACTGCCTGTAATGGTTACTCAATATTTAAATTACACACCTACATAAGATATTGGACAATTATCAGCTTTATTGTCCCGTGTATAAAAACTTGTCACTAATATTCGATAACGATGTGTATACTGATATACACTGCACCGCAAAATTAACCGGATACTAGCAGTAGATAAGCAAAGCTTTTACCGCGACATATATAGGGAATTCAATGTGTTAGAGAGGGAGGTCCCCTGCCGCAATGCGATCGAGAGAGATAGATGTGTATATAATCTTATGTGACGTAGGTGGGTGACGTAGGTTAATGTTAAAGAGAAAAAATACGCGTAGTAGCAAAGCCCGAAGGACGTAAGTCCATATCTTCGTTGCTATTGGTCCAATTTACATGCAACAAACGGCGTTGTGAGGAAGAAGTGGCGTAGATTAACTTTTAAGAGAAAAATCATGAGCAATAGCAAAGCCAAAAAGGCCTAAGTCCATATCTTTGTTGCTATTGGTCCGATTTACATGTAACAAACGGCGTTTGTTGCATGTAAATTGGACCAATAGCAACTAAGATATGGACTTAGGCCCTTCTGGCTCTGCTACTACGCGTATTTTTTCTCTTTAAAGGGCCCCACTCACCTCGTTCTTCTTCGCCGTTTTTAACCGACGGTTAAAAACGTTGGAAGGAAAAACGTTGACTGATATGTCCACACACAACAGTTTTTTTCGCGCTAGTTTATCACGATGGACCGTACGTGCTTGTTAGCAGTGGCAGCGGTTTTGGCAGTGGAAAAAAAATCGCGAAAAAAAAAATCTCAAAGAAAATGGACTAAAGACTGGCTACTTAAACGTAGTATACTGTCACAAACAAATTTACTGGAGGAGCTAAGATTGGAGCCTGGTGATTGGCACAATTACTTGAGGATAAACGAGGATACGTATCGGAAACTGTTAAAACTAGTAACACCGTTAATTGAGAGACATAATACCCATTTACGGGAATGCATCAGTCCTCACGAACGCCTAACAGCTACTCTGCGGTTTCTGGCCACTGGCCGCAGCTACGAGGATCTGAAGTTTTCTGTTATTATTTCACCGCAGGCACTAGGACGCATAATACCCGAAACCTGCCAAGCTCGATAAACTCTAATAAAAAATCTCTGTTCCACTGCCTTATATCCGACATTTTTATTATAACCAATTGTAGATAATAATAAACAACAAAAACATGCTGAACGTCACTTCTACTAATAAATGTCCGACCAGTCAAATTGTTGAGAACACACACCTCGTGTTTACTCGAACGGTTGGCACGATAACCGTCAAAAATCAAAACTCGCCTGAAATTTTGGAACGACGTTCATAACGTTCTTGCCCATACACCTCGTTTTTGTGACATTTTTACCCTGACGTTTTTAACCGTCGTTTAAAACGGCGGAGAAGAACGAGGTGAGTGGGGCCCTTAACATTAACCTACGTCACCCACCTACGTCACGTAAGATTATATACACATATATCTCTCTCGATCTCATTGCGGCAGGGGACCTCTCTCTCTCTAACACATTGAATTCCCTATATATGTCGCGGTAAAAGCTTTGCGTATCTACTACTAGCGTATTTTAAATAAAATTAAAAAGTATTAGAAAAACTTAGATTCCAATAATTTTTTTTATTGTATATTCAACAACAAACCCTAAAATAAAAAACAAGTTCCAAAATATTGATTAATTTAACAACAAATAAAAATTTATAAAATTTTGGTATTCCGGAGTACACAATTAACGGGTATTTTTCTGATTGAAATCATAAAATAATTCTAAGATTTGGATATCAAAATCGAGTATTCCCTTCTCGAGCTCGAATAACAGGTCTCATCCTTTCTGGCATAGACTGGACCAAAGCAGCAATCTCGTTTTGCGGTATTTGTTCCCACTCATTTATCAGCTACCACAATTTCAAACTCGCCATCATTTTGTCTAAGTCTTCTTCCCAAGTTGTCCCACAAATGCTCTATGGGGTTAAGGTCTGGGCTTCTAGGAGGCTGGGCTAGTATCTGAATACCAACAACTGTAAAGTATTGCATAATTACCCTGGCTATGTGCGGCCGAGCATTATCTTGCATTAGACGAAAATGTTCACCTACAAAATACATATAAGGTACCACATGTTCTTCCAGACATTCCCTAATGTACCTATCAGCATTAAGGCCACCTCCCCCTAACATAACATGTGTATGTGATTCCAAAGAAATGCCGCCACATACCATTGCATCTCCACCACCAAACTGTACTCTAGGAGAGAACCAACATGGGGCATAGCGTTCTCCAGGCTTACTCCATACTCTTTGGCGACCATCACGTGAGTATCTCGTAAAACGAGACTCATCTGTAAAAAGAACGTTTCGCCAATCTTCCATATCCCAATCTGCATAAGCACGAGAGAATTCTAAGCATTGTCTTCGATGAGCTGCATCCAGTAAAGGACCTGTGGGAGGCATATAAGACGATAAATTTTGTTCGCTTAATCTTCTGAGTACAGTATCAGGGGAAAGAACATCTGCCAATCTTCTGATCAAAGCTCTAGCAGTAACTGTCCGCTCTCGAAGCACTTGAAGTCTCAGAAATCATATTCAACGGCGTTTGTTACCCTTGGTCTTCCCTGTCCAGGTCTTCTAGAGTAAGAAACAGCTTCTCTAAATCTTCGTTAAGCATCAGATATTGTACTTCGCGGAACGCCAAGCATTTCTTCTATATAACGAATGGAACAACCATCATTATGCAAAGCAACAGCTTGCGCTACTTGATCTAGCCTCATTTTAAATTATTCTTGATAAAATCACTTTTCTTTCCTAAAAAAACAGCCAACCACACACCAAAAAGGCATACAATTCGTTTAACAAAAACTTTCTTTTCAGCCACAAAAAAATAACAAACCTTTAAAAAAAGGATGGATAAAGGCAACTTATATTTTGATAAATATATTTAATTATTATACAGGGCAATTCAACAAAACTAAAAGGAGAAAACTTTAAAATTTCACCTGTCCAGTTAATTGTATTTTGTAGGTAATTAATTATAAAACAGTTAAATTACCTTGTATATTTTAAAATCTTATGGTTACATTCCTAATGTAATGTTATTAACTCACTCAAAAGTCATTAAAGAAATGCAAGGTCTCGTTTTAATTTATTTCTCGAAAATTGGTCACAGTATCGGATTTAAAATTCGTACCTCTTAAAACGGTGTTAAAATTATTACATTCTAAGAAAATGGTTACATTTGACCGGGGAAATTTTAGAGTTTTCGTAGTATTTGTACTTTTATTAAAATAGAATATTTTCAAATAAATAAGTCGCCTTGTATATTTTGAAGCTTAGAGGTACACATATTTTAGTGATATTGTCTTTCCCAAAAAGCAATTCATAAGCACAGGGTTTTGACTTAATACTTTAAAAAAATAATTCTGTGTTATGGTTCTCAATATAAAACAACTTGTATAAGAAATGTGTACTGTGCAATATTTTGTCGTCAAAATATTATATTGAGTAGTACTTTTTGAAAATATGCTTCCCTGACGTCACAGTAGAATTAGTGAGATTTTGCAAAAAAACTCCCGTCATACATTTGTGAATCACCCTGTAATTAAAAATATTTTTAATTGTATGTATGTAATAATATATAGAATTGAGTCGGGTCCATTGACTTTTGTTTACTAGATTCAGTACAAAAACATACCAAAGTTTTAGAAAATTTGACCAGTCGCCACTTAAGGAAAGTGCGGTATCTTATTAAGGATTACATTTTTTTAAATGAATTTTAAAGACCGTATCAAAGTTTTCTTGAAAGTTTATCGTTTTAAAATTTTGTTTTTTATTTAAGTATATTTTGTGAATTTTCTACCAACTATCGTTTGTTAATATGTATTTATTAAATATTTGTTTACGACGGTATAACATATGATATTAGGCATTCCAAACAAATGAATTACCAGTGGGCAGGTTTTGGTATATCTAAGGGTGGCGACATATGGTGTATTCTATCTACTTTACGTAAAATCATGAATAATGGATTACATTTAAAGATTTTATGTCAAACACAATAAAAATAATATTTAAAAACCCACCTATACATTTCTTCATAAATTGGCAGGCTTGGCGAGTACTTCTTCGAATAAAAATAGCGTCCAAGTTGCAAGACTATGTCGCTACCCCCTTAAATATACAAGAATTTCCCACTGGCACCTATTGTTTGACAGGTCGTTGGAATGCCTAATTGACATCTGACATCGTTGTCATGTAATTTGTTTCGTGACGAAACAAATACGTGTTACCAACTTTGTTTTGACGTCACAACTATCTTGTTCCATATTTAAATCCTCTCTTCTATATCACAACATATTTGGTTTGAAATTACGAAGTGAACAACTATTAATATCTACTCTAAAATTGTACAAAATAATGCAAAATTGTCAGCAATTAGTATATATTTTTTCTTTTACAATGCCTATACAAAGCTATAGTATCGATTAAATTTGTACATAACCGTTTTTTTGCTAAGTAGTTTAACGCCTTTGTAATGCTAAATTTGTAGTTGGCGAGCCACTGCGAAATACACCAACGCCTAGCAGGGAGCTAGGGGCTCTGAGCCCCACCAGCCATCAGCATGGGGGCCGTATTAGCCCCTTGCCGAAATGGGCTAGAGGTATTAATATCCTTCTGACTTAATTTTTATTTTTTAGTTTTCTTTCTCTATCCTTTTTTTATTCTTGGCTTTACTTTGGATTTCCTTCTGCTCTCAGTTTTTTTGTAAATATATACCTATGTATACAATCTTGGAAATGCTTCGGGAGTGTAGAAGTTTGAATGAGAATGAGACACTACTATTTTAGCCTCATATTCTTTACGACGCCCCAAAAGTTTCAAACGTAATAGCCTCATAAATTAGAGAAATATACCGTAATCTGGAGCAACTTGGTCACCTTTTTCGAACTTATTCCCAAATATCTTTTTTTATTTTTTAACGCATTTGCACTATTTTTTTTTTTACCGACAACAACATAAGGAAACAGTTAACGTTTGCAAAAAGTCATGTTTTTGTTTTATATTATACAAAAAAATATATAAATATGGGGTGACCAAGTTACCCCGGGTTTGGGGCAACTTGGTCACCTTTGGGAATTTCTAATAAATGAGCGTTTTTAAAGGTTTCCATGACCAGGTTACCCCGGATTCACTTGAAAAAAAAAAAAAGAATTAACCCATAGTTATTTTTTTCTGTTCAAAATTTTCATAAATAGCCCATCTATTAAATTATTACTAAAAAATAACGACAAAAATGTTGAAAAAATGTAATAACTTATACATATAGGTACAAAAATAACTTATAAAACATAAAAGGAATTCTCAAATGTAACTCAGGTAACACTCTTAACTTACTTAAACTTAGGTAACTCTTAACTTAAACTTAGGTAACTCTTAACATAATCACTAGGTATAGTCCTTGTCTGTCCCAGAATCATCTTGATATTCCAACGGTTCTGATGCATCTGAATCATCACAGTAATCGCATTTAAAATAAGGATTTTTAGTTCCGTTGTTGCATGGGCCACATATCCACTTAAGGCACTGGATGCATTTAATCCAATCTTGTGCGCCATGAAAGTCTTTCCAATTGCAAAAACAAAGGCCACATTTCGCATCTGTTTGACTTTTTCCTAATTTTGTTCGTTCTTACTACACCAGACGGTCCTGGGACATCTAGTGGCTCCATTGCTTGAGTAGTAGAAGACTGAATGGTTTTATTGGGGCCTACAAGGTCTACAGGGACAGTTACAATAGGTTCATCTGTGGCATCTGTGGGAGCCACTTCATTATCTGCATCTCTTGCCAAATTTTTACCGGGTTGAATTTTCTTGCCCCTTTTTTCTTCGAATTTGCTTCGCTGCCAACCCTTCTGCGTTCTCTCAGAAGATCTACCAATGATGCATCAAGATACCTTCCAACTGCGTCTCGATCGTCTGGTATGATTCCATCAGGAATTCTCTTCAAGACCTCGTTTGGATCAGGTGGATAAAGCCTAGTGGCTCGAAATCCAGATATCAAATTTTGGTTGACAGTGTCAGACATGCCGTTCCATAATCTAGAGAGCAAATTGGGAAACTGTTCTTTTGGAAGATTTCCTGGATATCTGCTTTCTGTTCTCCATTGGTCTAAAATCTTTCCCCAGCACTTCCTCATCGGTCTAAATACAGCCACATCCAGTGGATGCATTAGATGCGTTGCATTTGCAGGGAATGGAGTAATATAAATAGCATGGTTATCACCCACCACAATAGTTATAGTACCGGGTTTTCGGGTTTCCATTAGGTGCGGGAGGAGGATTTTGAAAAACCGCATCTCGAACAAATTTATGTCAAACCAACCAGAAGGGCTGCTTGCATATTTCTTTCCTGGGGGGCCTCCTTCTGTCCAGTTTTCATAAAGGTGTCCAGATGTATAGACAACCATGGGAGGCAAGAGATCCCCCTTCTTGTTTCCGCACACCATAATGCCAATGGAGGTACGAGAGTGGTTTTGTACCCTTTTTGTGTTTCGGGGGACCATCATCTTCTTGGCCCCAGGATCGTCTGTAACGTTAGTTTCGTTGTAGTTGTATATATTAAAATTGTCCGCATTGCTTAGAGCCCTATTTATATTGTTGAAAAATTTTAAAATATCTCCACGGTCCACGGAGGATCTGGACCTTTTAATGTTCGATGCCAGACGAATGGAGAGCCTATTCCTCTGGATAAATGCATCCAGAAAATCTCCTGGAGTGTTGTTTTTGAAGATACTATCGAACCTTGTCAATGGGAACCCCCAATTGGCCACTACTACAAGGGTATCTGATATACTCCGCTCTTCTTCGGCTGACAGGACTCTTGGGCGGCCTACTGAACCCGAATGTTTTCCAAATATCTTCCGAGTTAAAGTTGTCCTACTTATTTCATATGTTTCGGCTGCTAATTTTTTTGACATACCAATTTTAACAACTTCTCTGGCTTTTTCCAAATTTTCTTTAGAACAATCTTAATAGGGCTTTGGTTCTCTGGTACTCTCTTACCATTTTCACTGAAACAAACGAGAGGGACCTGAAAATCCACCAAAAAAAAAAAACAGCTGGATAAATATAAACAAAAACAAAAATTACGTCATAGGTGACCAAGTTACCCCGGGGTGACCAAGTTGCCCCAGATTACGGTAATTCATAAAAAAATGTTATTGATCGTTTTAAAAAAAATCATTCAAAAGATTATGAAGGGAAATGTCTTATTATAGGCTTCAGAAGTATTTTCCAGATGCTTTAGGACACGTTTTTTTTTTTGTTTTTTAATTGAAAATTCATGTTATCTAAAAAATAATTGAAAAAAGAAATTAAACCATTTTCATATAAAAACGGCACTTGTTTAAAATATCCCTTAAACTAATTATCAATTTTTTCCAATATTTATACTTTGTTCTTAAAAAAAAAATCAATAAAAACTGAGAGCACCATTTCTTTCGCATATTATACCCTTCTTTGATTGAGGTTGAGGACTAATATATTTCCGCTTGTCGTCTTTTAGGCGACAATTCTGATTTGCTCTGTCAAGAACTAGCACCAAACTATCAGGAAACAGGTAATTTTCTTCCCTTGTTCTTGTTTATCGTTCATATCCGCACGCTTAAGAATGAGCTTTCCGGCTATTTTTAGCTTCGTATTTATGGTGTCGGAATTTTCGAACAAGCATGAATAGATTTACTGTATACCGCTTGGGAAAAATTTTGGGCGAAGGTGTCTTGCCCACCTGAATGTTGGTTATTTATTTTATGCGTTCTAGAAGGTAGGTTTAATTAAACTAGGCATTTCCATGTCTTGGTACCTATAATATAATATTATACAAGGTGTTTTATAAGGAATGGTAAATATTTCATCCTCAAAATATTAATATTTTGCTAAATAACACTGGGTCAAATGTTATCTACTTCTGAGATACACGGTGTTAAACTTAAAATTTATTTTTCGTTTTTTTGAAATATTTTCGTTATTACTTGAAAGGACCACCCACTTTTCTTATGCCGCTTTTTTGTTTGGTAGAAATACTTACTTTGACCGAAAAAGATCTGCGGAATCATGAATCACCCTATAAGTGATAATATACAGGGTGTACCAATAAAAACTCCCAGGCCGGATATTTTGAAAAGTAATAGAGATATTTTAATTCTGAAAAAGCCAGATCAGAGAGCACTAAGAGAGCTTTATTTTTAGATATAAATTAATTTTAAATAGGTCAATATATAGATGGCGCTGCGCTCAATAATTGTTTTTGGATGGGAGAATCTTTCTTATGTAGCGCATCTTGTAAAAAATGCATTTTTAAGTAGATTTTGTTCTATGAACTAATTCGATAAATCCAGCCATTTTTGATATACAGAGTGGGTCACTCAAAACAGTTTCATCCTGTTTTTCAGCATTAATCATTGGATTTAAAGAAAATGCTAAAACAGGTCGATTTTTATTCCAAATTAAAAACATTTTTACAATACAGACATCTGTCATGTGTCAACCCCCTCCCTTGCACTTCACCGACACCCTAATTTTAAATAGGTAATGTACAATGTATGGCACATCATTGAAAAGGTAATTAAATGGAAAATTCAGAAATATTTCTGTACACTGAGTTACTTTAATTTTATCGCCCTCTAGCGGAAAAAAACTATTACGTATTATAGAGTGTGACACTACAATGTGTAGTACATCAATCAAAAGGTAATTTTATGGGGAATTTATAAATATGATTGTTTATTGCGATACTTTTAATTGTACCGCCCTCTATCGGGATACAAAAAACTACGTATTATAAAGTGTGACACCTTATTTGAAAGCAAATTTAATGCACTACATAACATAAATATAAATATCCTCCATATTGCACTTGTAATAGTTTGAAAAATAGTCATGCATTATTTTAAACATTATTATTGCTAACTTTATTTTATTACAAGTGCAATATGGAAATATTTATATTAATGACATGTGGTGCATTGAATTAGCTATTAAATTAGCTTTCAAATGAAGTGTCACACTTTAGAATACGTTACAGGTTTTTTATCTCGATAGAGGGCGCTAAAATTAAAAGTATCGCAATAAACAATCATATTTTTGACTTCCCCACAAAATTACCTATTTAATGATGTGCCGTACATGGTACATTTCTTATTTAAAATGAAGGGGTTGGAGAAGTGGAAGGGAGGGGGTTGACACATGACAGATGTTTGCATTGTGAAAATGTGTTCAATTTGGAATAAAAATCGATCTGTCTTAGCATTTTCTTAAAATCCAATGATTAATGCCGAAAAACAGAGTGAAACTGTTTTGAGTGACCCACTCTGTATATCAAAAATGGTTGGATTTATCGAAATAGTTTATAGAACAAAATCTGCTTAAGAATGCATTTTTTACATGATGCGCTACATAAGATCTTCCCATCGAAAAAAAATAATTGAGCGCAGCGCCATCTACATATTGACCTATTTAAAATTAATTTATATCTAAAATTGAAGCTCTCTTAGCGCTCTATGAACTGGTTTTTACAGAATTAAAATATCTATTACCTACCAAAATATCTGGCCTGGGAGTTTTTATTGGTACACCCTGTATATACAAGAATGTATATTGACTACACAAAATGAGTAAATAACTTCCAAAAATATTTAAGGGTCATTTTTGGTGTTCATTTTGAAGAATTAGAGATTTTTAACTTCAACACCCTGTATCTTAAAATCCAATAATAGGGTGAGATTGGGCCTATGGGCACTTTTGATAGGGACATCAAGTAATTTAAGATATCAAAAATTCAGACATTTTGATGGTACTTCCATAAGAAAAGTGTGTGGTCCTTTGAACAAAAAAATTGTTTTTAGCATAAAATCAATCCATTTCGAAAAATTTTCTAGCCACAGTATTCTATTTAATTTACAATGTTTCAATAAAGGAAGTTTGAAAATAAGAATGAAAATGTACGGCTGTCAAATAATTAATTGTTATAATTAAGTTACTGACTGCAGTCTGGCTTAAAAAAAAATAGAAATGCCAAGAATAAAAAAAAAGTTTTCTTCATCCAGTAGAGTGTAGGTGGTGCCCTCTTTGTCTAATCTCAAAATTGATAACATGCTTTCGATTAACTAGCCCAATAATATAACTGTACCAAATTTCAAGTCAATACGTTAAATAATAACGAAAATATTGCCAAAAAAAACGAAAAATAAATTTTAATTTAACACCCTGTATCTCAGAAGTGGATAACATTTTTTGACCCAGTGTTATTTAGTAAAATATTAATATTTTGAGGTCCTGAACCTTTGATTAAAATATTTACCATTCCTTATGAAACACACTGTATAGAATTGTGAACAAAACATAATTTTTCAATATGGTATACATTTTTATTCACACCAGTGGCGTAGCCAGAAATTTTTATATGGCGGAAACGGTGACGCGAAGGCACTCCATGGGGCGGGGGGTTCTGACACCCAAACCCCCCTCCGTGGCTATGCCACTGATTCACACTTAAAATGTTATTTAAATTTGAAAACGTATCTATTGATTTATTAGTTTAATTTTCTTTTTACAATTTATTTTTTCAAAAATACATGCTTCTCCTTAATGAAAATACCTCTTCCTCTTAGCTCTGTCCTCTTTCCCCTGTTTCGTAGATGCGTTAATAATATCTGTTTTTCTACACCCGTATTATAATAATGCACTTATATCCCCATAATCCGTTTCATAATGATAGCAATTATGATACAGATTTTTTATACCGATACAAATTTTTAATCAATAGAAACCCATAATTTTTCAATCAAGCATGCTGTGCATTTGACATTTGTTCTAGGTTCCTATGTAATTTTTTTAATTGTCAAAATCAGTACGTATTAAATTTTCGTAGATAGGTAACTTCGATAATTATATTATCAAAATGTCTGATATCAGCGATATAGAAGACTTACCATCGACTCCTCCACACATATCGAAGAAAGCAGAAAATGCAGTACAAAATATTTTGCCCCAAAAATCTATGGTAATACCAATACCCGAGGTAATACCATTAATTACAATTTTGTAGAATTTTTTATAGAAATACGAGTAATTACTGTTATTGTGTTCAATACAAATATAAATACAATATTTATAGTTCTTGATTATTTGGGTGTAGAAAAAATAGCGTATGCAACTCTCATGTAATGGTTATTAATACATGATCGTTGCATAATATACTATTATTCAAACTATTCTCTATTATCACGCTACTACCTAGATTTTGTGGAACTTTTTCCGAAACAATTTCTTCCTAATCATCTCAACATAAAGTCCTTTAAGACTCGCATCAACAAACCACCTCTGCTTTCGTTTTGAGGACCTCCTAAATGCATAGCAGTCTTTTTTTTATTTTTGTGGATGTGCTCAATGAGTTTCATTGCCATTTCAAAATTTAAAAATTTTCAACTCTCATTTTTAAAAAATCATGAATATCCTCTTAAATATCCTTTTTCCTTATTTTACCGAAGTTCCTGTTTTTTCGTCATACATCGCGAAACACTTTTAATGTTATCCTGAAGAATGTGACTGCTTAACAAAATATTCAACGGATGCCGAAAAATAAACATTAAAATTAGATTTATCAAAAGATTAGCACGTCTATTAACTTAATGACAATCTACAGTTAAAACTATAAATTTGTATGAAACAATATGTAGAAACGTAGTGATTCTACTTAAAAGAACCATCCTAGGGGTGTATAAATTGGCGACAAAAGGGAGCACGCTTTATTTAGGAATGCCTTTGCTAGAAAATGCTTTGTACATAGTTCATATATCAATCTGCTTTCTTATATGTTTATTTGAACCATTAAATTCATATTTTCTATTATGTTCTACTTAAATAAAGATCGTTCTTTTTGATATAATATAAAATTAATAGTAGTTTTTAATTGTTCAAAAAAACTTACGAAACAAGAGGGAAATTCTAAAGCAATAAGACTTGTTTGAAACAAACTTTTAGTTATATTATATTTACCCACCTATAGTCGTACTTCCCAAATACTAATGTAGAGAACATTAGTGTGTTGTAAGCTGCCATTTTAAATACTCTATATTAGTGATGACGTAATTTGTGGGTCAAACAAAGTTGTTCATAAACTATATATCTAGTTTTTGAACTGCTATTATTTCATTTAAGTAATTTTATGTCTTAAAATATATCTTAGAGAATCGTTTAGTAATCAATTATGTAATACAATAAAAATAGAGGTTAGGTATTCTTTACATTTTATTTCTATTATTTTATGTCAAAATAAATGACAGAATGTTTTTTGTTTGGCTCCCAAATTACGTCACGCTAATATAGCTTATTGAAGTTAAATCAAGTTCACATTAGTATTTAGCACATATAGAAAATAAATGAATAGGTAAACAACTTGTCTCATTACTTTATTATTCAACCTCGCATATTTCTGTGTTTTCCATTTTTATGTTGGTATATGTATGCCGTGCTTCATTGGCATGTTAATCGTCTTGTTACTATTAACTTATTTGTTACATGCTACCAGGACGTACCAGTTTTATACCAGAATATGTTGTTGAAGATGGTAATTTTTAATGACTTGTTTGTAATGTCAATGTTGTTACTGGCTGCCATATTGTTTTTTGTTAGACGGCTTCTTTGTATTTCAATCACGGATCAAAATGCGATATCTCTTTAATCAAAATGAAAACATAACCATTTTTATCGTTCAAATACTTATACATCATTAATATTTCATTTTTATTTTTCGTCACTAGAAGTATTAAAAGTGTAGTAGTAAAATAACTTTAAACGTTTTACAGTTGCGGTTACATCAAAAGCGTTCGGTGAAAGATATAACTGCAATGTTGAAATATTAACTAGAAATACTTCATATTTAAGTACTACTATACTTCAGAATAAATTACGATACCATAGGTTCTTTCGTTCGCTGTTGATGCAGTGTCCACCAGTGTAAATTACAACAACTTATTTACCTGATTTACTTCCTCCTTATTTCTTATACTCATATGTCGAGTGTAATTCACTCCTGCTAAATAGCTAGTGGAGAAAATATCCACCAGTGGAAACTACATCGCCGACAGGAAGGTGTAGTGGATTTTAGACCGGGCCAAACGAAAGGTTTAGTGTCCGTTGGTGTAGTTCATTCCTATGCCAGTGGGACGAACGAAAGAACCTCATATATTCAAACAAGATATAAAGTCGATCCAGGATTTCTATTTTCTTAAAATGGCAGATATCAAGCTGACTCGTAATTTTGTGTTAAAATCATTGATATGGCAATCAGATTTACTCAACCAGAATAGTAGAAGTAAAAGCGTGTAAATCCGCACCTGCTTTTCCGCCATTTTAGTGACTGCAAAAGACACGCCTACCGATCCCAATTGTGTATCTCAAAAATAGTTACAAATGACTTATCCTCAGGTTGCTATATCAATAGTTAAAATATAGTATGACCATCGAGATAGAATGAAGTAGAGACGACATACACTATTTTTTGAAATTACAGATGGGCGTACTTTGATTTATTTGAAGTCAATAATTTTATATTTGTACATTGAAGGAATGCAAATGTTTTTATATCGATTAAATTAAGCTAGGTATTTAAAAAAATGTTCATTTATTTTCACCAAAACTGACTAGCTCCACTATCTCGAATTTGACACATGATGTCAAAGTGTAATACAAAGGTGGGGACTATGTGGGGACACTGTTAATATCGCTATAGCTCATTGCTATAGCATCTCCTCTTTATTCTGTCTCAATAAATGTGACTGGCCTGTTTAAATGTGTCTACTTGGCCAGCACCACGTTTAAAAAGTAGTGGATTATTTCCACATATTAAATATTCTAATCTATTACTAAATATTTATTTTTCTGAAATAAGGAAAAATCTTCAATACTTATTGTAGAAAATTTATTAATTTTATTCGAGATGAATCCTAAGATGATAATTTTTTCAACTGTGCCTAGAAGTCATTAAAACTAACACTTTTTCAATTAACATTTCAAAAAAACTCAGAAATAAGAAATATTAATTTATTTCAAAATGTATCCAATACGATCCTTTCTAATTTAAATAATGTGTAGAACTTTCGTCGAAAAATGTTGGTCATATTCATGCCGTTGTAAGAACGAGAACTCTACGAGGGAAATCTTCAAATAGTAGTTCTTGAATACATTGAATGTGAAAGGGATATAATTGATCATCATTTTTCTGACTTACTCTCATCTGATCTACATCTACAATCAATATTTGTTGGACCTTCTTCGATAACATTTAAAATATATTCTTCTAAACGCCACTTTATTTTCAATTTACCACACTGAACAATTTAAATACACTAGTTCAGATAAACTCGCTACTGAAATCGAATGTGACTGAATTACAGTAACCGGTACAAAATGAATCGTGAATCATAAGAAAAACAGAAAAAGATTAAAATAAAAACAAACAAATATATTATTTAATGTAACTTTTCATACACACGGATTTATTTTTTTAAATTCTTATTTTTGAGTTTTTAAAAAATATATTTATTTTAACGACTTCTATACAGTTTAAAAAAGTATCAACTTAGGATTCACCCTGTATATTTTACATTAAGTCAAATGTGGAAAATATTAACTACTTCGTTCATGCATATTATTGAGAAATGACCTACAAAAAATGATACTAAATTAGGTGATGATTGACAAAGACAGATACAAGTCATGTACGTGATAGCTACGCACAGCTCTGAATTAAATCAAAACTGACACTTAAAAAGAAGAAGAATTGTATGATTTTTTTTAACATATCTGGTGATATCAAACAATTAAAAACGAAATAGTGGAGAGTTTAGTTAACATTTTGTGAATTTTATATATTTTTTATTTTACGTATGTTTGTTTTAAAGAGATATTGTACACCGATAAGGTACTTCTAATTAAAAATCTCATAAAAATTATTTTTTTAACGATTTAATGTTTAGAACAAGCTCCACCACGTCCTCCATTGCCATACGATGGAGCTCCAGTTAGACCACCACCACCTCCTGAAACTGATGATGAAGACGAAGTGTTCAAAACTGCGCCGCTACCCAGTCAACCAATTATGGTAAAGTATTTTTTTAATGTATTCATAAACGGTTTTTTTTTTTGTAAAGTTTATTATTTAAAACAGTGTAATATTTGTAACCACTACGTTATTTTAATTTGTCTGGGACGCCCTGTAAGTTTAATTTCCGATATTGATCAATCTTTAATAAATTAGATTAACTCGGAATTGCAGCCTAATCGAAAAGTAAAACTACTAGCGTGCGAGTAGTTTCTAAATAATTGATGTTAAAATACATCGGCAATGGAAAAGTTCATCTTTCTACGACAAAAAAAGTATGTAGAATAGTACTAAGAAATGAATTAGGGTTTAAAGTTTCGAAGTAGAAAGATTAATTACTTTTTTTTTGTATAAAGGTTGCTGCACATAATTTGCATAGAGAAGTCAGACAGTGGTCTGCAAAGGACAACGAACTTATCGCTGCGGCACAAAGAATGGCAAAATTAATGGCCAGATTATCAGAACTTGTTCACAACGATGATAAAGGTAAGCAAAGCTTAATTGCTTCTCGCTCATCGTATTAGATTGTAATTTTTAATTCGAATTAATTTAAATCTTTAAACTGTGGTTTTTAAGGATCGAAGAGGGAACTTATAGCCACAGCTAAGGCTATCGCCGACGCTAGTGCTGACGTAACTCGTATAGCTAAGCAGCTGGCTAGAGAATGTACGGACAAAAGGATCAGGACTAATTTACTGCAAGTTTGCGAAAGGATCCCCACCATTGCTACTCAACTTAAAATCCTTAGCACCGTTAAGGCAACTATGTTGGGATCTCAAGGTAATTTGTTTATTTTTTTTTTTATAAAATTAACGTTAATTTGCACATTTTAACATAAATGTACTGGGTAGTCAAATAAGAGACAGTACAACTCACGGATTTTTTTACATTAAAAGTAGCCATGTTTAATTTTAAGATGGTCGCTAGAGGGCGTAACACCCGTGAGCTCTGTGAAGCTGGCACCCCAAATTCGAAATTTGTAGTTTTAAAAACGATATACGTTTGACCACCTATTGACCATGTTTGACCACCTACTAACTTTTTTTGACCACCCTCAAAAACCTGCGGACCCCCCGAAGTTATTATTTTTTAAAACTGACTGCACCATAAGATTAACCAATTTTTGACCATGTTTGACCACCCATTAAAGGGGTAAATTATAGAAAAACAAGAATTCTGGGACCAATTTCAACTTTGAAAAAATAATTAATCGTCAAAATTCGAAAAATTAAATTTCAAAATAGAATTTTGACTTGTAAAAAATTGGTCAATTGATATAAGTATACAATAGGGTGTCCGTTATTTACCAATTTGATTTTGCAGCGCCCCTAAAATGTTTAGTGTATCATCCAAAAAAAAATATCGAACTCATATAAGCCTTTAATATTGATGATAAACCGTGCCACAAAGGCAATTCATTTCCCATTTAAATAACATGGGGTTTTTGTAATTTTTTCAATCAATTTTTTCGTTCCTCAGCCAGCTCATATAAAGCTGCGGCAATCAATTATTTTTGTGGTAAATTTAACGCTCTACAAAAAATTCTTAGTAATTTTTTCGATAAATTCACTTGCTTAAAAGTTATTCAAGCTCAAAGTTGAACTAAAAATAACTTATTAATTTTCTTTGTATTTTGACTTTCTTCTTAATAAATTCTACTTTCCTCTTTTCAATAATTTTGACAGACTCAACAAAATAGCTGAATCAGATATTTTTGCAATAAAGAATAAATTTTTCAGTCAAAATACAAAGAAAATTAATAAGTTATTTTTAGTTCAGCTATAAGCTTGAATAACTTTTAAGCAAGTGAATTTATCGAAAAAATTACTAAGAATTTTTTGTAGAGCGTTAAATTTACTACAAAAATAATTGATTGCCGCAGCTTTGTATGAGCTGGCTGAGAAACGAAAAAATTGATGCAAAAATTACAAAAACCCCATGTTATTTAAATGGGAAATGAATTGCCTTTGTGGCACAGTTTATTATCAATATTAAGGGCTTATATGGGTTCGATATTTTTTTTTGGGTCATACACTAAAAATTTTAGGAGCGCTGCAAACTCAAAAATCAAATTGGTAAATAACGGACACCCTAGTATACAATGAGTAATAACAGTTTATAATTATGTTTTTACGTTTGACCATCCCCTAAAATAATTTTAATGAACCCAAAAGTACTGTGAAAATTCGAAAAAAAAATGGAAATCAAATTTTAACTTGAAAAAAAAAATGTTCAATCGACATGAGCGCATAATAAAGGATCCATAATGATATAGAATTATGTTTTGATGTTTGACCACCCCCCAAAAAATTTTTAATGTGTCCCAGTAATGATAAAATTCGAAAAATACAATTTCAAAATAGAATTATTTTAGGCAGTGGTCAAACCATTATTTTGAAATTGTATTTTTCGAATTTTCACACTACTTAAGAACATTAAAATTATTTTAGGGGGTGGTCAAACATCAAAATATCATATTATTATTAACCATCATGGATATTTATTGTGCACTCATGTCGATTGACCATTTTTTCCAAGTCAAAATTCGATTTCCCAATTGTATTTTTAGAATTTCACACTACTTGGGCACCTTAAAATTATTTTAGGGGGTGGTCAAACGCCATGACATAATTCTAAATCATTTTGTATATTTGTTGTGCCCTTATGTCGATTGACCATTTTGTTCAACTACAAATTAGATTGGTAAATGTTTTCTTTGAATTTTTAATCCCACTGGGATCTTTTGAGATATTTTAGGGGGTGGTCAAACGGTGATACATAATTTTGAACGTTTTTGGATCTTATTATGCCTTTTTGACGATTAATTATTATTTCAAAGTTGAAATTCGTTCAGAATTCTTGTTTTTCTATAATTTCAATTATTTTAAAAGGTTTTAAAAAAAAATAATGGGTGGTCAAACATGGTCAAAATTTGGTTAATCTTATGGTGCAGTCAGTTTTAAAAAATATTAATTTCGGGGGGGAGGGGCAGCAGGTACATTTTTTTAATATTCAGGTTTCTGAGGGTGGTCAAAAAAGTTAGTGGGTAGTCAGAGATATGCCGCTAATTTCGGGGGCCAGCTTTACAGAGCTACACCATGACCTATTAAAAAAAGAGAAATTTCTTAAAAATTATACCAACATAAATGTTGAATCTTAAACTCGAGAAAATGAGCTAGACAAAAAACTGGATTAGGGCTGTAAAATCGTGTATTACTTTTCTTTCATAATTTTAACATTTTCACCTTCAGTATATTTCCCTTAACCGCATCATGCGAATTTTCCATTGGCCATAATAATGTTGTCGTCTTCTCTGATTTATCTTTAACACACCTCTACTGTCTCAAATTTGATTCCTTTCAGTACTGATTTGAAAAATCACATGAGGCAAGATTGATTAGGGTGGATTATTTAATACAGCTATCTAAATAGCGCAGGGTTGTCGTGATGAATAAACCATGACTTTATTTTGTTAAAATCTCGCTAACACTTTCTTTTTCGACTTTTACGGATTCAGCAACATACCAAATACTTGACCAAAGTTTATGTCTATGAGGTATTGGGCGCGAATCATCTGTGTAGTACTTCTGCTCACTCATAAACCTGAGTCTGATAAACACTCATCTCCATATCATTATTTTAATAAAGCACACTTTTCTGTGACGTTTTTTCACAAGTATTTTCACAAGGAATTTTACATATTGCTCTCCTTGAACACATGAACATATGACCGGCAAATCACAGATACAAGGTACACTTCAGCCACACCTCGTCTCTTGTAAAGTAGTGAAGGAACGTTAAACTTTTTATTCTAATGGTGATAACTCCTGTTTGGATTGACTGAATTCAACAAACTGTGTCTCGCAAAGGTTTCTTGTTTAATCTACCACATTATAAGATCTGTCTATATTAACTCCACAGTGACAGCGAGAGGGCGCAGCTTGACAACCCAAAAAATATTACGAGTTTTATTGTTGTAACGTGCTGTCTTATTCGACCATCCAGTACATATTAAGTTCTTTCGTTCGTCCCATTGGTGTAGGATTGTACTGCTCCAACAGACACTTATACCTTTCGTTTGGTCCAGTGTAAAATTCACTACATCTTCTGGTTGGCGGTGTGGTGTCCACTGGTGGATATTTTCTCCACCAGCTATTTAGCAGGAGTGAATTACACTCGGCATGTGTAAGGAGGGAAGTAAACTAGGTAAATAAGGTGATGTAATTTACACTGGTGGACACTGCACCAACAACGAACGAAAGAACATTACTAGTAGTACACTTAGCACTTTTTTTATTTCTTTAAATTTTTTCCAGATATTTTTTATATTTTCAATGATATTTTACTATTTAAAATATATGTATACTTGGTTTCTGTATTTACATGTTTTGGTTCATTCTAAAAAAAATGGCATTGAAAATAATATATTTTATCTAGAAAAAAAAAAACATTCTAAAAATTCTGCACTTCTGAATAATATTCTTATTGCTGTACATTGCTTATTTTGACACTTAGGAGGAGGAAAACCAATTAAAGGTAGGACTTTTGTATACTAAAATGAAATGAATATATTTTTAATTTTTATATTACAGTAAGACTTAAAATTTTAGTCCTGACAATGCATTAAATCAATTAAATTTACAAAAATATAATTTGCGTGAAATATTTTTAACATTTTTTTTACAACTGACCTATTATACAGAGTGTGATGAGCTAAAAATTTAAGGGTTGATTCTGATCGAAAAAATAATACTAAAGTTTAATCAAAATTGAAAATGTGGCAGTAATGTATTAAACAGCGATTTGCTTAGAAAGGGTTCATCGTAGTATACCAAATTTAAAGTTATTCGGCAAACTAGAAAAATTTATTAAGAAAAAATAACAAAAACAGTTTTTTTGACACCCTGTAATTTCGCTATTTTTGATACATGAACTTTAGTATTATTTTTTCGAGTAGAATCAACCCTTAAATGTTTTGCTCATCATTTCCGGTAACCCTGTATAATCAGGCTATACTAAATATTCAGTGGGCTTTTAAAATTTATAATTGTATTTTTTGAGATTCCAAAAAGCAAATTTTGTTATTGTATTGTTTTTATTTTCTATTATTATTGAGGCTCGTTCAACAAGTCCTTAGAAAAAAATAGAAAAACATTAATTTAGATACATTTTTTTATCTATCAACATAATTTCCTTTTAACTCTATATACTTTTCCAAGCGTTTCTCCAACATTTTTAAGTCATCTAAATAGTACATTTCGGAAGGTTTTCAAAATAGGCATCTGTTTGGGCCATGATCTCCTCGTTCGATTTGAACCGTTCCATCGAGCCATTTTTTAAGTTTAGAAATAAAAAAGTCACAATTCGAACTAATTCCATAATTTTGGCCATCAAAACGGCACAGCTGTGCATTTTTCTAAATAAACAGTTTATTGCCTCAATCTACAATAAAAATGAAATCATGTGTGATGAACATAACTGAGACTTTGTCTAAGTAATGATGCTTATTAAAAACAAACCATTTGCTGAACGATCCTCGTATTAACTACATTATAATATATTTTATAGTGCGGGAGCAAATTAATCTTAAAATTAATATTATTTTCCTCTTGTCTTGGCACATACAAATATTAAATCACTTAGATGCATTTATGCGTATAGTCCGTTGCAAGATAATTCTAGAAAACTCAATGATCTGGCAACCTCTTGAATCATTTGCCAACATGCTGCTCAGAGCCCTGGCTTAGGTTGACTGTTAATTGTTCAAATGTTAAAGATAATTTTTAAAATTTGATTTCTACAAAGATCCTTTTGCGGTCTAAATTGCATTAAAAAAATATAACATTCATTTCATTCATTTCAAAAATACTTTATTTACAATATGTACATAGGATTTTTAATAACATTTAAAATACATAAAAAATATAACACGCTGAGAACTTGTATTAAAATAAAAAAAAATAACAAAGGTTTTATTTCCAAACACATGTTCAACTAAAAAGATATATTGAAAATTGAAACTGACTAAAATTATTAAGTATTAATTTTAAAAGAATTTTTCACTAGATTTATTTTGTGGAAATGTAGGTAAATGAATTTAAAAACGTTTATATTTCTAAATCACTTTCACAGTCACTAATTTCATGTTCTGAAATAATATCACTATCATCATCAGTATCATCCAAATTTATTTCAATTTTTTGAATTGTATTGTTAAATCTCATATATTTCTCTTCGATTTGTTTAACATGTTAAAATAGCGTTTTTCCAGTTTTCAACAGTTATACAGTTAAATGCATTTCTTACTACATCAAATACAGAAGGAGTGGACTTAGGAGAAGAGTTATTTGCTCGAGAATAATTTTTTAACTGTGACCATAATAATTCTATGGGGTTCAAAATACAGTGGTAGGGTGGTAAACGTAAAACATAAAATCCGTGTTTTATTGCTATGGTGTTTATAACATATTCAGGTTGAAAATCAACCAAGTGTAAAAGTTCTATTAACTGTTTATTGTGTAGTTTTTCTTCAACAAATATATCATTCTTCATCAGAAAGTCCTGAATCACTGATTTCGTAGAATTGCTATTTGGTTTTTTCGTACCAATCGCGAGAATGGTACGGGGCATTATCTAAAACTATTACGGTATTTTCATTTAGTTTTGGTAGTAATTTACTCTCAAACCATTTTTCAAAAAGAGTACTTTCTATGTCCTGGTGGTAGTCCAAACTACTATCCCGTACATCCTTGGCAGACAGCAAGAGAGCTTCTTCTACCCAACCTGATTCTCCACCACAATGTAAAATGCATATTCTTTTTCCTCGAGATGGAGGAGTGTGTACATAACATTTTAAACTTCCATCAGTCGCAACATTTTTTTTATGATGTCGTGAGTGTCGAACCAGGTTTCATCTAAAAAATTAATGTTTCTGCCCTCTAGTCGATACTTTGTAATTAAATCAAGACATTCTATTCTACATTTAACTAAACGGCTGGATTCCATAATTGTCTTTTATTAATGGTTTTAAATTTAAAGAATTTTTGATTTTAAAAATCTCCATAATGTCGTTTTATGGCAGTCTTCTATTAACGTTTTTTGTTTTAGACGTAAAAATAACGTGTTCAAAGTAGGAAAATTATTTACAGAGAACATTTCATAAATTGTTTCGCTAATCGGTTCTAAAAGAAACTGTGGAATGGAACGAGATGAACCAGAATCTTGTCGCACCTTTCTAGGTGGTGTCCCTTCCTGTAAAATTTTGTATACCGTTGACTGTGATACTTTTGTCAAAAAAGCAGTCTCTTTTAGGGCTTCGGAGGAAGACAATGCATTTTTTTAGACCTGTAAATAAGACTCACTATTAAAATCAAATATATTTAGAAAATTGGCATTTTTATAGATTTTGACTGTTGTTTTCGATTTTCCACCTTGCTGCCTCGTATATTTGCCGCTCGCGCCCAAAAACAGTTTTTTGAAAATATTACCTATTAAACTAGAGAAAATTTCCTACAATTTTTGTGGTTACCTCTTGTAAAATGAATAGTTCTAACGCAAGAGCGCCAAAAAGTTTACTACTGAGTATATCTCATCCAAATTGAACAATTGTTTATGATTAAAAACTGTAATAAAAAGCTAAAGATTTCAGTATTTTAATTTTCTAAATTTGTTTCACAAAAAACTGCGTTTTAAGTAGTTTTTCATTAATAATTTTTATAAATTGCATTCAAAATTTGCGAAAATTTTGTAATAGTAAATATCATGACATGTACTTTACTATTATAAAATTTTGGCATTCTCCTTGCCTTCGTCTTTACGAAAAATGAAAAAACATATAATTTTTTTTTTGCAAAACAATTTTAAATTAAAATAAATTAAAAAATGTTAAAGAATAAAATGTTTATTAAGATTCGGATCAGAAAAATATAATATGACTAATTTCATGTATCTTTACTTTACGCGTTATTTTCGCTGTAAAATTGGTCTCTGGGTTTTTTGGCACGAATCTTGCGGGAAAGGTTTTTCATATTAAGTTTATCTTTCCTCTTGCTAAGATGCAACCACTTGTTGCTAAAGTTAGGGTCTTTAGGAAAACTAAAAAATCTTACAAACATTCTTACGAAATATTAATATTATCATGTTTGTTCCCCAAACAGAAAACATTAATTTTTAAAGTCCATTTGGAAACACCGTCCCTGTTCCGGCTAATACACAACCTTCCTTCATGTTTAAAGCTAGATAATTTTCTACTATCAATTGCAACGGACTATAGGTATATTATTAAGTATACTATTACAATAGAACATACTTCCAAAATTTTTATCATAAATATTTTTTATTATCTGTTTATCAATAAAATATCAATAACATATGTCACGCAGGTTCTGAAGAGGACCGTGAAGCGACCGAAATGCTGGAAGGCAACGCCCAAAACCTGATGCAGAGCGTCAAGGAAACTGTAAGAGCGGCTGAAAGCGCGAGCGTGAAGATTCACGCCCAAACCCATGGAAAATTGAGATGGGTGCGAAAACAACCATGGTATGCATACGCTTAAATGAGGGTACTAAAATACGAACAAAGAAAGGTTATTTTGTGTTCAAATATTTATTTATTGCTGATTTATGACGAAAATATCGCATCACAAAACGTTCATTGTTTTCGTTAGGTCAATCGGATATAAGAAACAAATCACAAATTGCTCTAATTGAATTTTACTTACAAATTGCAGTCTAAATAGAAACAAAACAGGAATACCACACTGGCAGGACGGTTCAGCTTTAGTAAAATATAGTGAATTTTATACTAACTTACCCATTTAAAACCAAAAAATAATTAATTCATTATTTTAGAATTAACAATCCATTTTGAGCAGTACCTCCTTACATTTCCCTAATTTTCCTGGGAAATGTGTTTGAAGCATCGAGAAAATTTCCATGCCAGATTGTGAGTAATGGTAAGTATACAAGAATTTGTTTTCCGGAAAATTTGGAAAACATTAATTTTTTTGCCATTTTCACCAGTCAATAGGAAATTTCCTGGAAACTTGTAAATATGTGGTCAAAATAAAGTTGGGCCCGATGGAAATAACAAAAATCACTATTCCGAGTGAAAATTTCAAACTTTACTTTTTTAAGGATCGTATAACGCTAATGAAACAATCATCGAGATAGAATAAAGTAGAGACGACATAATAGTATATTATTAAACGAGCAATTTATGGTAGCCATTATTCACGCATGGTGACGTTTGCGTCCCGAGCCGTAGGCGAGGGGCGCAAGTCACCCGAGTGAATAATGGCCATAAATTGCGAGTCTAATACTATACTTTGTCCACGACCATTATGGTTTCTTTATTAAATAAAAGTTAAGTGTAGAATGCAAAGTTTTTATTAAACATAGGTTGTTTTTTCCACTTTATTTTTCGATTTTCTGATTTTTCGATCTAGAAAATATCGTTATGAAAAGTATCGCCTATCTTTAGTTATCTACCGGAATGTGCCAGATTTACAAAAGCGTGAATTATCATAATTCACTCCGTGATATATGGGTACTATATGCTTTTAGTTAGGAAGTAGAATATTGATTTATTATTAAGTGGTCGTGGACAAACACTATTTTGCGATGTGACAAAATGGGCGCACTTCAAGTGACGGAAAAGTAATCAAAATGGCGACTTTAGTCGTACTTTGATTTAATTGAAGTCAATAATTTTATATTTAAAAACTGACGGAATGAAAATAATTTTATATCATTTATATGAAGCTATTTAACAAAAACGTGGCATTTATTCTCACCAAAACTGACTAGCTACACTACTCGAGTTTGACATTGACGTAAAAATGTAATACATACGCAGACAATTTAGCATCGTCATAGCATCTCCTCTTTATTCTATCTCAATGGAAACAGTCAATACCTGCTTAGATTTTATATGCTATTTGTGTCTCCATTAGTTACTGTTTCTGATATATAATAGTAAATTGTTTTTCTTAAATGAATTTGAACGTTAGTTTGTTTCATATTGTGATCGTTATTTTCGACTAGATCAATAATTTTATTGATTAGTTTACTAAATTTGTTACTTACCATCGTATAGAGATAGATAGATGATTATGGATATTAATCTATTAAATATTTGTATTTATTTTTTATTAATATTTTTAACCGTTTTATAGACATAAATGTATATTTATACACACGTAGGTGGCTTGATCAATAAGTTGTTTTTTACAACTATTTATATAGTTATATAATATTTTAAAAAACGTAAGTCAATTAAAACAAGTTGAGCTTAAAAATATATTGTATGAGCTGAAAAAGTGCCCGATTTTATCTATTTAAGTATGATACAGAACTAGGTACTAGAAATTAATAATTACATTTTTCAACGAGTTAGATTAAGGGCTTACATTATTAATAGACTGAAGAGAAAAAGGTTGTTATAAGTGAATAAATATTAAAACAATTTTTAGCCAGTGTCCTTTAACAGGATGACCAAAAGTCAATTTCAGTTTTTAATCAATTCTAATATTATTATGTAAAACGTTGTCGACTCTCCAAACCCAAGATTTTAACAGAGTTGAATTAACCTACAGTTCACTACTAAACTATTCCAGAGAACATCTTCATATATGAAGAAATTATTAGTTGGAAATAATTACAGTTCACCAATAGATGCAACAAACTGTTACTTTATAAAATGAAGATGTTATCACTTGTCATGGAAATTCACAAGGTTGCCATGGAAACTCGAGGCTGCTGTGAAATCTCTTGAGGTTGCCTCGGAATCTAAGAGTGCTAGAACTCTAGAATTTGATGTGGAATCTCTTGAATTTGTTGTAGAATCTTTTCGAGGTTGCTAGCGATTCACTCGATGTTGCCATGAAATCTCTCGAGGTTTGTTATGGAAACTCTCAAGATTGTGATGAGATCATAATAGAATATTAAGAGTGATCCACAAAAGTAGGCGATAACTGACAAAGACAGTGATATGAATTATTTTGGTTATAACTAATGCTGTCAATTCTTGACGTGATAAACGGTTAACCGGTTCGACTGATTTTGACCGGTTTCGGTTATAACCGGATTTTTACTAATATTATAACCGGTTATTCGGATATCCGGTCCGATTATGCTGTCGACCGGTCAGATTATCCGGCCAAATTATCCGGTTAACCGGTTCGATTATCCTGTTAACCAGTCCGATCAAACGAACCGGTTAGACCGAATTCGGCGGTTTAACCGTGACCAGTTAAACCCGTCACTGGTTTATCCGTTAGTGTTTAACTCTGTAACCATCACCGACTTAATCTTAAAAAAACACATCCACCAAATCCTTTGTTTTCAACAGAAATGGGGTCACTTTACTAACCATTTCACCTTTCCTTACCCATGACAACCAGGCTGGGAATGCTTGATTTTTAACCCACTAAATAAAAATTAAATTAGAATAATAGAAATACTACCAATTTTACTTTTGCTTAACTTTATTTAAAATTTAAAAAAGGACATACACTCACTTCCCACTGGGTGGGTAAGTAGGTGAAACTAAAAAACAAACACATAAACTATATTCAAGTAAAAAAATATTCAAAAATAAATTATAATTAATTGGGACATAAAATAAGAAATAATAACAAATACCTAATAACAAACCTGCCTATTTTATTGAGTTTTGATGCGAAAAAATCAACTTATCAACGTTTTCCGGCAGCAAGCAGTATCTTTTCGCCGAAACTATGTTTCCTACACTGGAAAACACCCGTTCACTGGAAGTTGATGTGGCTGGTACACATTAATGCGGTTATACGGTTATAAACCGGTTCCGGTTAAACCAGTAACTGTTAAACCGGTTACGGTTAAATAGGTTACCTTCTTTAACTGTTTTTTGGTCTTACGGAACCTGTTAACCGGTCACGGTTACCAGCCTTAGTTATAACTGCGGACGGCTCTGAATTAAATCCAAATTGCTACCTTATAAAGAAGAATTGAACACACTGACATGCATCCTTTTTTATGGATTACTCCATAGATTGTAGTATACATGCAAAATGTATCAAAGGGTGGGATTTCAACAAAACTCATATTATGTCTAGGATTGACTAATATTCACTTTGACTCGCCCAGTATTTTCCTATTTACTCTTTGTGCATTAGTTGTCTTCGACCTATACAAAATAACCTCAAAAGGGTACCTTATTGCATTTTACAATCTTTACACAGTGGGTTACATATATTTCAACCCATCATCAGAGTTTTACCACAAAAAATGCGTTTCGTCGGTTGAGAAGAAGACTATTTAAACTATCCTGTATCCATTTTTTTGAAAAATAAGTCATTGACATGTCCTAAGTTCTATTTAATTCTAGCTTGTGCAATATTATTATACAATGTCCTAAGAAGCCGTATGGGAAACAAAAATTGCCTAAATTGTCTTCGTTATTGGGCAATAAAACTTTCTAATGCATAATACTCAAAAATAATAGAAAATTACTTAGGATAGTATTTTTCTCAACCGACGGTTTTCTGACAACGATTCAAATATATTATAAATTCTAATCTTCCTAAAATAAGAACAAATACGCTTTGGCCGATGTATTAGTGCCAAAATAGGCTACGTACTAATTATCCTTCCATAAAGGCCTAAAATATATACTGTTATGTATTTATATAAAATTTTAATATTTACTCCAGAACTATTGATCAAGCACACAATGTATTTGTTTTGCAGACAATCTATACCATTATTATCTTGTTATGTATTTTGAATGTTTAGAACCTAGGACAGGGAAAGTTTTGTCAAGTCACACAGTAAAGGTTGATAGAATAATGACATTTGTAGAAAAGTTTTAAGTTGTATGGTAAAAAATAACATACTGGCTAACCGACCGCCGGCGGTGCTTGCATTTGTTGAAAAGAAAACCGTCTTCCGGCGGCATGGTCTTCTTCATGCAGGAAAGCCGCCGCAAATCTAAACTGATTTGTTGATCAGGGCGGCATGCTATCAGTGAATTGAAAAATGCCGCCGGACGACGGTCTACTGTATTTAAAACATTGAATGCCGGTGGTAAGAAAAAATTCTTGTAAAATCGTCTACATTTTTGTGGCAAATTATCATATGTCGTACGCGTTTTATTTGTACATCGGTCTCCTTTTGACAGAGTAGATGAGCTGTGTCCAGGCCGTTGGTGTTTATGCCGGTCGGCGTAGCCAGGTATGGATAGAAATTTTAAGGTGGCGGCGAAGCCGCCACCCTACGAGAAGTCGTTACTTCGTCTTCTTGTTGTCACGGCATTAATATTATTTGTTGATGTATGTGAAATTTGCTTCTAAGGTTTATAAAATACTACTGCTAGTCACGGCGTAAATGAAAACAAACCAGACGCATTGACACAAACACCTTCCACCAAAGCAATTACAAATAATTAGTGTTGTCCCCGATACGCGAGTTTTTTCCGGCGGCATTTAATGTTTCAAATACAGTAGACCGTCGTCCGGCGGCCCTATGAATACTCTGATAGCCTGCCGCCCTCATCAACAAATCAGTTTAGATTTTCGGCGGCTTTCTTATATGTGAGAAGACCATGCCGCCGGAAGACGGTTTTCGTTTTATTAAATTCAACTACCGCCGGCGGTCGGCTAGCCAGTACGAAAAAATAAAACATTAATCTTAATTTGTGGTTGACGAAACTTTTCCTTTAGAATATAACGTTAACACTGCATGATATCAGTGTAGATAAATACACTAAGTGATGTAGAATTGCCTTGCCAAGAAATAGTTATTTTTTATATGCTTAAAATTTTAAAATGATAGTATTATAATACGTGCAATAGTGCCAAATTGTGTTGAGCCAATTTTTCCTAGAATTCCTTAAGCAATAATAATTATGGCTGATAAAAAAATTGTTGAAAGCTGTTAGATATTTATATATTTTCCTATACCCATGTGCATTGATTCTTATTAATTTTTAAAAATAGTTTTGTATATTGGAGTGAATTTTTATGTAACTAAATTAATAAACTATTTATTTACGCCAATTTAGTTTTCTTTTATATATAGATGCAGAATATTGGTAAATATATGGACTTTGTTTGGATGCTTAGCATTTGTCAAGGTAATCTGAAATTAGTGTACTCAATTTGGTCCACTGAAATGAGCGTGTTACTAAATTCACCACTGAACTCACAGATTTCACCAAAACATTCTTTTATTCAAGATTCCACCATTGGTGTTGAAGGAATGTGGATTCTTGAAATTCAAAACTACCAATCCACGACCACACCAGCCTGTATCTTCCATAGTCGTTATTAATCGATTCATTTTGCAAGAAACAATATTTTCAGGAACACCAGATTAAACTATAAAAACACTATTAAATCGAAGGGAGATTACCATGTTTGATTATAAATGAATCAGTGAGTTAGAGAACCGTACATGTCCAAAATCAGCCTTCCGAGAAAAAACCTTTTAACATTAAAACAATTTGACACAGACTATTTCCATGCATAGAAAAGTTTTAGATCTCGTGGTTTGCAATGTATTTTTAATACTAGTTTTTCAGAAAATAAAATGGACTACCAATGATATACAAATAGGATATGGACTTGTACAGTTTTTGAACTCAATTCTGTATATAAAAAGAAATTTTTTTGATTTAACATTTATTTAAAAAAGAGGAAAAATACAATATCAAAACAGTTATCTCAGTCATCTAATCATTTTCAGCATTTGTGGTTTTCCAATGTCAAATTATGGAAATACTAAAGGGTTGTTTACATTACTATTATTTATTAATAGGTAAACTTATAATATAAATCGGTGTTCATTAAGCTAAATTAAAACAACTGGTAACTCTAACAAATTGGCAGTATGCAAAACCAAACGTGGTGAGTGCAAAACTTAACAATCCATATGGCCACCTGATTGACAGTTTTGATACCAGCTGATAGGTGGAGGTGTTTAACTCATTTTCACAAAAAGGGAGATTGCCACCTTTCGTTCTAGATCCCCTCATGTGATACAAAATGGTTCTCCGCTCAGTTTTTTTTTTTAATAAAATCCAAATCATTTAATACTTTATTTTATTACATTATTCGTTAAAAAAAAATTATATTGTGGACATGCTTTTATAAATTAATATTAGTACCTACTACAAAGTTAATATTTCACTTGCTTTTTCTTCTAATAACTGTTCCATAGTATTGACATGTGTGCACCACAGACTAAGTCTGGATACCATGCTGGATATTTGAGTCTTGTCCAAAACTCTAGGTTGGACCCATGTCATATTTACAGTACTGGCAACCTAAAATAATAATTAAAAAAATAAGATATGTACTATGAACAAAAAATAAATACAAACCTGATCAATAGCACCTTTAACGAGACCTTGAGAAAGTGCCTTCATGACCAGAAGTTCAATTTCATTAAGAGGTAATTTAGTTTCTTTTGAAATTTCAGCAAAAGTTAGTTGTCTGTTGTGAGATGGTCTGCTAAAGGTCATCTGAAATAAAAATCTCAATTATAACTAAATATTATAAAAAATGTGTGTTACTGTTACAAATATTTAAGTGCCTTCTAAATATTCTATAAAAAAAGAACATACCTCCATCAGACACAACAAAGATATCTTTTGTCTCAAAAAGAGCTCCTCAGCAGCTAGATCTGCTATGCCAGCCCATTGTGTTTTCATAGCTTCAAATCTCTTTATGTCACCAGAATTGAAAGCATACAAAAGTTCAATTAACCAAGCATTTTCTGTTGATTTCAAAGAGTCTAACACAGGGTGAGCCAGTAATTCTCCAAGATTGTACACACCTTCACCCAACAGAGCTGCCAATCCCAAAAAAAATGCATGTTGTACTTTGACATCGGATTTTAAAGTGTCCAGCTCTATGCAACCCAAATACCTCAAGGCAGTTCTGTAATATTGTGCATGGTCCCCTTGAATTCGATAATATTGAGAGGCCAGTAAATAAAACCTGCCATGCACAGGTGTAACTCCATCTGCGTTGTCTAGAGTGGCTTCGACTTCCTCTATAATCTTTTTGGTGGCATCTAAATCGTTTAACTTTTCGAGATAAATTTGGCCCTCCAAAACTTTGCAGAGATTTTGTGCATCTGGATTGATTTTAACTTTAGGTTCAGTCTTCTCTAAGAAAGTGATTGCATCCTTAGGTTCTTTATATTGTTCGACGACAATAGCCGCTATTTCAACCAAAGACAAAGGATTGATTCTGAAAGGTTTAATAATATGTAGAATTTGAGGTTATGAAAATAATAATGACTTACTTATTTTCGAAGGATTGAATGAAATTGTGATAAAGTTGAATTAGGTTGTCGCCTTTTTGTAATTCCGGTTTTTTAATAAAAACGAGTAATTTTAATGTTAATTGATGCCATAATCTAAAAAAGATAAAACATTATTCTAGTTGCAATTTTTTGGAGGCATTGAGCGCTTACTTTTTATTATGAAGTTCCTCGAGTTCGGCCCATTCGGAACCTAATTCTTTTGGACTTTCTTGTTGTTTTTTAGATAGATAATCACTAATATTAGACGGTTGCACCGCAGCTGCAGCCATTTTTTGTGAATATGAATGACAAGACAAAAATCAGAAAATCTTACAAAAATTTCTTTCAAAATAGATCAAGTTAGCCAACTTAACAAATCAAAAATTTACCGACTGACCGTCATTTAAAGAAACCTGTTGCATCGATAAAAGAAAATTACAGATGATTTAAATAAAGATAACTACTATAACGACAGTCTAATTTACAGAAATCTTCTTTAACGAGTCGGTGGCGCTACCTTGAAACAAAATTATGAATTAAAAACTAGTTTTTAATATTTTGTATTTGATGAATGGAATGGGGGTAGAGTTCGTAGAACCCCTTCTTTTATTTGTGATGTGATGTCATACAGCTATTTTTAGAAACGTTTCTGAAAATAAGCTATTGACTTTTACTTTACTGATGATATCATTCTTATGGAATAGAAATGTGTAACATGACATCATAATTATTAATATTTTTTTATACCTACATAACTTTATCATAGTTATTTATGTTTTTATATTCGCCCTTGTATATTTTGAAAATAAATTGTGTTGAGAAGTGGATTGGAATGAATGATATAATGTAGCTTATTTATTTTTTTATAGTTGGCTGATGTCATATATAAAATAGCTTTTTATTTTAAATATATTTTTAGGTAGGTATTTTAATATGGCCTAGACATGAGACACACTGTATATTTTGAAAAAATTGTGTAAAATTAGATCTTTTATTTTTTCGATATGAGCTACTTATTAGTAAAAGTTATAAATGTAAAGGCTATATTATTGATTCAAGCAGTGGCGTAGCCACGGGGGGAGGGGGTTTGGGAGTCAGAGGGTTCTCTCGTCACCATTTCCGCTATAGTATTGGCGCTGATCGCTATCATGGAGGAAGGATTATCGCTATACTGACTGGTTTTATTCACTTTCTTGATGGACACCCCCCCATAGTTCTCAGAAACCCCTCCCATGAAAAATGACAAGACTTACAGGTCCGTATTCGAAACATTTGACAAAATGTGCAACATTCTATTTTTTAAATATATGTTTGTGATGCGATTCTCTATAATTCTTGTAGTATACCTACATAATCTCTAAAATTGACCATATTCGAGATATTTGAGTAAGAGTGCAAAATTTTGAATATAACTCAAAAACGAATAAAGAAAAAAATATCAAATTTTAAATTTAATCTAGGTATCATTCGGTGAAATGATTAAATTTTGAGCATAGTCGGAACATCTTGGTGAGTGATTTATTGGGATAGTTTTTCTACTTTATGGAATATATTTGTTATTTATGCCTGGATAAGAAAATTATTCAAATAAAAGTTGCTTGTTAGGTTATTCTCTATATTTTTGTTTTATACATCATTTTCGTAAATTGGTCCGTATTAGAGCAATTTGACAAAAAATGCAAATTCAAATTTTTAAGAAAATAAAAGTTGTTTGCGATATCATTCTCTATAATTTTTGTTCTCTAGAATAATAATAATGATGGAAATAATTGAGGAAAAGTGTAGGTATATGTAAATGTGTCAATATTTTAGATAGGTTTATATAAAAAAAATATGTATTTAGTTTATCCCCTAAACATTTACAGGAGTGATACAATAGGTTCTAAAAAATTACCGGAAAAGTTCTTTGGTTGTATCTGTCACAAGTTTTTATTTATCAGAAATCTTTTGGTGCTGTTATTATGTATTATAATTTTAAAAACACACCAAGGGACAGAATTCTATGGGACAGAATATAAAAAATGTAAAACATGCGAAACCCATTTTTGTTTTAAAACGTGGGTACGTGATTTCGAGAAAATATAATTTGGTTTAACAAAACTAGTAGGAAAAATACACCTACATGATGTAAAACAAAAAGATGGGGGTTTGTCTGTTTTTAAATGTCCCTTGGTTTTTCAAAATTATAATATTGACTGCACAAGAAGATACAAATTTTTTATTTTCGAAACATATGTAGCGTTTGATAAATAAAAACTTGTGACATACACCCAGAGATTTTTCCTATAAAATTAGTCAAGAAATTGTCCTACATTTTATATATTTTGGAGTACTTACCTATTTTAAAGTTAAAGTAAAAAGGTCCAAAGCAGCTACCCCTTTTTAGTGTACTGTTTTAGCAACCATCGCTTATCTTTAAAAATAAATAAAACATGTTTCCAGTTTCGTGAAAATATACTTTATTTTGAATCCTTGAAAAACATAAAATTTTTAAGAGGTACATGAACTAAGTCTATCTATTTCCTTCCTCTAAACACTAAAATCTAAATTATGCAATTTCTTATCGGTATGTTGTAAGGCACAACAAAAAACTAGTGAACTTCATACAGTTTATTGAACACATACAAAAACGAAGCAGTATACATTTAAACTTAAACCTATACCAAAAAAGTTTTAAAAAATGCAGAGCGGTAAAGATGTAAAAACACAAAAATAAATTATTTCTTTCTCAAAGTTCATAAAAAATGTCACGGAACACAAACAGACCATGTGTTCGTAATGATTTTTTTATAACTTGTACTTTAATAGGTTCAATACTTAATAAAATAAAAATATATAAAAGTCTATAAATACCTTTTACAACAGAAACCTTACTAGGAAACTCTCTCACGAGATTTACATAATCAAATATAATTTTCTTTTAGTACAAAAATTAAATATTGACAAAAAGCTTACTTTCGTTTGTTCTTACCCAACATTTTGAAACACAATAATTACAATTAACACGTTTCTTTTTGTTTAAAATTAACAAATTACCACAAAACTGCACTTCTTTTTAATTTTCTTTTATTTACTAATAAAATAAAACTTCCAGGATGATTAGAAAATAGTGTAAAAATACAAACAAAAAGAAACACGTCTGGTGTTTTATGTATCAAAATAACAATTTTTTTAGCACCCATCCGGTCGGTATGTCACGTTATACTGCAAAAAAACACGTTTAACACATTTTTTTTATTTAATATATTTATGTATAAAAGAAAACAATTTAATAAACGAAATTGAATGAATGCTAATCATAATTCATTCTCACTTGTATAAAATAAATGCAGAACTAAAAGATGTTACTCAAGAAAAGATTATAATTATGTGATGTTAATTTTTAACATAACTTGTTTAATCTTTCGATTGCTTGTTTATATTTTCTACACTTCGCAAACACCTACAAAGTTTTTTTTGGACTTATTTGTCTTAAAATGAAGTAATTTGAAGTTGTTTTTCCCATTTTGTCACTTATTATGCAACCAGTTACGAAATGCCATATTCGGCATTTCGTAACGTTTTGCATACAATATTTTTTTCTAATTTTGACTAGATTATTTATAAAATTGTGCTTGAAAAAAATTAATAACATCTATGCAACCAATATTACTTTCTTGTATTGTTAGTTCCATATGCATAACTTCATTACTAAGTTGTAAGTGATTTAACCAAATTCTATTTATATATAGCCTTCCCTCCTTTGATATAAACTTTCAATAATAATGTATGTAAAAAAGAATTTTCTTCTTTTACTCCATTCCTCTAATGAAAAGTAATATTTCTCACCCTAGGTAAATAATGATAATAAAAAAACACCTAGGTAAATAATTGAATTCCATTCCATTAGTTTCATGTTGTTAATTTGACAACTAAACTCCCAGACTACTAGATATTTCGAAATATTTGAAAAATAAGTAGGAAATAGCTAGTTGGGTTTATTAAAATCTAATCAAATCAAATATGGTAATATATCAGTGTTAGTAGTAAAAAAAAAATTATATATACTTCGGTTGAGGCCATTATAAACCTCTCACATTATATCCTGAGGTGCGTAGTAATAGTTCACTTCTCAACCTAAGTGTATAATGTACTATTTCGCAACTAGTGACATAATGAATTTTTCGTAACCAGTTTCATAATGTTCAACTTTATGCAACTCGTTGCATAAAGAAGATCATTTTGACACTTGCTATTACAAAAAAAACTCACTATATATGTCAAAATTAGAAAAAAAAAGTATGAAGGTTCAAAATATATAATGATTCAAAACCATCTCAAAATATGTTAAAATTAAAAAAGGAGGGCACCCATTTTCTTCTATTTATTAAGTAGTGTCCTACTTAAGGGACCGCAACCATTGTTATGTGACTATTTGTCAATACCATGAAATTTAACGAGATTTGGAAACAAAATACATCTCATTAGTTTCAAATACAGGTAAATCCAGATTTAATATCCAAAACTACACTAACAACCAATTTTAAAAAATAATTGTTTTCGAGATAAACTATTCATTTTTTTAGAGTTAGCAATACTGAATTGCAAAAATCTTCTTTTTGTGTAAATGTTCATTTGAACTACTAAATGTTAGGTTAGAATATAAAAATTATACAAAAGATGGAATAATTGCTATTTCACGAGTAGTAAATGAAATAAAACAAAACTTATGTTTACGAAAACATATTTTAACTATAAAGAGTATTTTTAATCTTATCTCTTGTAAGATGAATTTTAGTTATAATTTTTCTCGAAAACCCGTAATTCCCAAAACCGAGATCAAATTCGAATGCAGCGCTGAAAATTAGAAAAACAACTCCAATTTCCAAACGAAACTTTGTCGATCTCTGCAAACACAAATCAAAATTGCATGCCATCATCATTTAAACCAAAAAAGAAACCACTTGGAATGTTTCTCATTCCCTTAAATCGATCAATTCGAAGTGAGTTTTTGTCAATAACAGAATTAAGTTGTGTTCGTTCTGCCTTCAGGAAGTTACTTTGAAGGAATATCGATTCATTACACTTAGAAAAAAAATATATGTGAAGCGGCCGAATGAACGCACCTCCGTTCTGTATTAGTATCTAACCTTAAACGCTAAGTTTCATTTGAATCGATCTGATTTTTTTAGCTCACATCAGCCGACACTTTTCGTCACCCTGTGGGTCGCCCTGCTGGTGATGGAGTTCTTCGGAAAGGTAGCCCCCCGATCGTTCTCTGTGTCTTAAATGCGCGCTCGAAATCTGCCTCTTTACCCTGAAAAATAAAACCACCCATGTTAGGAATTCGTCAAACCGGTGAAAATCTTTCCCTTTTTATAATATTAGGACTTTTACCTTTCTGAAATTGCAATTTCTTCTCCGCTGTTGTTCAATACTAGAGTGGTCATGTTGTCGCCGACAATCCATTTTTGTCCTTTCATAACGAGATTGCTGGGTGGTTCGTGGTCCTTATTTTGATCGGAACTCCAAATCGTCACGTAACCGTTGCCTTCCAATTTAAGCGACCTAGAATAAAATAATTTCACATTTGAAGTGTTGCTCTAATAATAGATGCATAGCACAAGTGATCTTGCAAAAAAATTAGGAATAATTTGTTAAGTGGTTTATACGAGCCTTAACAACTAAATGTTCGGACAAACAAAAATTTATTGAAAATTTTAATTTACACAAACTAAATTATTAAATTAAAAAACTAAATTAACAATATATTAAAGTCTATTATTTCTATACTCATTGAACTGGGCGAATAAATAAACAAAAATATTGCACAATAGCCTGACAACTGAATGTTCGTATTTAACTATAGTCTAGAGAAGAAAGGAATGCAGTAATTTAATTTGCAGAACGTAGTACAGGTTTAAGAGGTATACATTTTATTTCTGCATCATCCTTCAATGTTTATTTCAGGTTAAAATGAAAATTTTAATACATCTGAGCGACCTAATAAAAGTTTTTGTTTAGATTTACATGGAAGTTTCTTTGGTTCGAATGGTCAAATTATTTTCAGAGTAGATTAGTGATTCTACTTGAGCTGACTACTTCTCACCTGATAAGCCCCAAATAGGGCCAAACCGGTCGTGGACGTCCGGGAAGTAGTTTGTTGTTATAAGGCTGCCGGACAGATTCTGGAGGTATGGCACTGGTCATTTATATTTTTTGATCTAATTTACCTTTCATTTGAGAAAGGTCGCCTATTTTATATATTAGATTTTACCATATAAATCTGGTCAAGATCTGATGATGGTATCCATGTAAAAATCATCAAACTCTTCATTTGTAGTGTTAGTTTTTGTAAAATTACTTTTACAACTTGTAAATAAAAAAAAAACTACATACCTATGGAATTTAAAAACAGTCTCCTCTTCGCCGACACGCCTGATCACCTGCCAGCCACCGAGTGGAACTTCCTGGTTACTCTTGTTGTGTAACCTGATGAAATGTCCATCGGCATCGACGTCTGCTACCTCAATGTCGCCTTTCGATGAACTGTTTATGCTGAAATCCGATAAGCTGGATTCCTGGCTCTCTTCTAGCAGAGTACGTTTTCTTTTAGCGCCCGCCCTGATGGGAGTGCGGCGCTGGGAGGAGCTGCGTTGACTGTGCTGGGCTACTTCAAGACCTGGAAATTATCCAATGCATTGGTTTCTTTTTGTTTTTCACGATAATAATGTCAATTTGGATGTAAAGTCCGAAAAGAAACATCTAACAATTGAACTATAGTGGCAAAAAAAGGAGACTTACCGCTGGGAGTAATATTAAGACGCGCTTCTTCGGATTCCAGAAGTTTGCGATAGGCCGCAATCTCCAAATCAAGAGATACTTTGATGTCCATAAGATCTTGGTATTCTTGAAGTTGGTTTGCTGTTTCTTCCCTAAGTCTTTGGAGCTCTCTTTCCAATAGAGCTAGATCTTCAGCATGACGCATTCGTTCATTCTATACACCGATTAAAATAATCAATAATTTTATCTTACTATCTTAATATTCAACAATTATTACGCAAATTTTTGGTATTTTGGATTTAAGATTTATTTATTATAATATCCTTTTGACAATTTACATTGTATGAATTTCGTCAGTGTTTGGTAACAAAATACAAAAAAATAAAGAGTGGTAAAACAAATTCATTTAAACTATATTATATATATTTTTTTAACATTTAATGTTTATTGAACAGTCTAGGTCCTATATAACTAGGCGACTCCAAGGATAACTTCAACTTTAATACAGGGATATGGATATCCCCTTTGAGTCGTGTGTTAAATGAATGGCAGTTACTATCAATAAAAAATTAGTTTTGTATTAAAAAACAAAGCCACTTGTCTCAAACACATGCCACGAAGGTGTATGATCATAATATTGTAACTAGTAAACAGATGTTTGCAAGAATTTCGATAATATCGTTTTTTATTAAGATCTCAAACATTTTGTGATTCCTTTTGTATTCTAAATAAATTTTATTCAGAGGATGCATAGCCCGCTTTAAATTTATAAATAAACGCTGTATCAATATTTTTCAAGTGATTTAAAAGAAATTTTGAAGACGTTTTACATAAAATACTGTAAGAACTGATGTGTTGAAAATTTTGCTTTTAAGCCATCAAAAATAAAGTTTATAAATTTTTAAAAATCTAACTACAAAAGTCGACAGATTATAAAGTTAAATATTCCTAAGGTTTCCAATGTCTACTTTTTTTGCGGTAATTCATACGATTTTTTTTTAATATGGCACTGATTGGAGTTGCTCCCTAGCGGCAACGTTTAAAGATAAGGGAAATACGCAATATGCTGGTTTTATTTGGGATGGAGCGGTGCCAGTGTGAGTATTTGCAAGTTTCCAGTGGTGTATTAGCTGATTATTTTTCTGTGTATTTAATTAAGTGTGTTTGTTAGAATACTTAAATCTTTGCCTAATAATAATAATCGAGAATACATTTTTGCAGTTTTTATGATCACAGTGCGATCCTGTGAAGTTTAAGTTTTTTGGAATTACTACCAATTTTTATGTTGTTATTGATGGTAGACTATTATATAGCACCAGTCACCTAAATCGTAGTTGATCTTTCTTTTTACATTTTAGGCTTTTTCAATTTTTTTTAATCTTTTTCTTTTATAATATAGGAAAAAAATAACTTTTTAATAATACTTTGGCACTGGTTATTGGTGCCGTACTAAAATTGGAATGCACCGTAGACAAAAATGAAAACTGAGGCCCCCTTTATTCCCCTTGTCAAACAACAACCAAAAAAAGGTTAAAATATATTACTCAGTGTTGTAATTTTCCATATTTATCCTTATTTATATTTATTTCTGGGCCAACTTAGCGCCCCTGACTTTTGCGCCCGTAAGCAGATCATTCGCCTAGTACGCCACTGGCATGTTATTTCTTTCAAAATACCACATTCTTTAGATAAATGTGTTCGTCTCAATAAAAAAAAGATCTTTTATCTGTATTTTTGGTAATTATACACTGTGGCAATTTAGTTTTCCTTTAATGTGTGCCCATCCAACAATGCGTTACGCTAACGAAGAAAATCACAAAAAAATTTGCCTCGTTTGTGGTTCTAAAATTCGTTTTGGAAAAAAGACTCCTCCAAAAAAATTTTGTGTCTATTGTGTTGGAAAAACTTATTTGTGAGTTTTTAAATCCCAACTACAGAATTTCGAATTGTAAGTATCCAATGTCTATTTGCATATCGGGTCGCCTGATTCTAAAGAAGAGAAAGAATGGTAATTTCAAAAGAAAACTGCCAATAATGCCCGATTTTGAGAAAAACATACTGGTAACAACTACCAGAAATTCTAATCAGTTTGATTTGTTTGATTTGTTCAAAGACTCGAAATAAGGTTCGCCTGAAAAATTGTAATAAGCAAAACCTAAAACAGCATACAATCTGTCAGACTTGTCTACTAACTCTAGGTAAAGATATTTAGCACCCTTGTCCTTCATACAGGAGCAGCAAAAATGTTTTCAAACTTTTAGAGGCAACACTTACAAAACAGAAGGAACAGTTAACGGTCGGAATTATTAAAAATAATATTGAAACTGAGAAAGAAGGTATTTCTACTTTTTCTATAAAATTATCAAGTGGTGGTTCAATAGCAACGATCATTGTAAATCCAAAAGCAGATCAAGATTCTTTTCGCTGCCGAATGTATGAATGATTTTTGGACCAATTCTGCCCGCCCTGGCAGGCAGATGGATAAAATTACAAATTTTATAAGACTCTCGGCAGGAAAAACAGGCAATACCTGCCATTATCGGAATTTCCGAAAAAGTCGGTTCAAATTATTACTACGAAATGTATTGAATTTGAAAACCGCGTTGGGGAAAACGCCCAAGGCGTTATTTGGGCGGATGCAAATGGGTTGGTGAACGAAAATTTTGTTTAAAGAGGTCAAATTTTTTTTTTTTTTTTTAAATATGTTTTACCATTTTTCCAACAGATGAACAACAAGATAAAGGATATGAAAGACCATCGCATTCAAGTTACAGGTGTTAAGAAACTGATCATACTATTTATGGTTCCAAATATATATATAAAAAAAAAACTTATGAAAACCTCTACTTACTTTTTGATCTGGTAAAAATCAACCAAATATCTTTCGGACTTTAAAATAATCCTGATGGTCAATGGCTTACAGACGGCAACGTCGTTTTACCCATGTCCATACTGCTACATTACATTAAAAGAACTTCGATCCTACAATGAGAATCACAATAAAACATTGCGATCTTATGGCGATAATAAACTACATTATAAAAAATGTTACTTAATTTTTGAAAAAAAAAAAAAAAAAACTAAAACGAGCAAAAAAGTCCTTCAACACCACAAATGGAGTAATTTTTAAAGAAGAAAATTACGTGAAAGTCATTGAAAAGTGTATTATTTCAAAACTTTTAAGCTTTTGCAAGGTCACTAAAATGGCCTAAGAAGTTACATTTAAGTCACTAAAAATTACCAAGGAGAACTTTTTGAATGCGTGCAGGAAATTGTTGAAAAATGAAAAAGATTTAAAATCAAAAGACCTGGAAACAATTTATGTAATTTATGTTTTGCCGTTTGGGGTGACTTTTAACACAAATTGCAGGCTGACGTAAAAAGCAATTTTAAAGGATGCCAAAGTCTCACAAACCCTCAAAATACGTGTTATTTTGGATCTAGTAGAAAATGTTCAACTTTTGGAAACTGGGTTGAAACAAGCTGGCGAGTCTATTCACTGAGATTTTTTGATGGTTTGGAATAGGTACCTATACAATCAATGACATTAATGAGGTGCGATATGGGGAAATACTATTTAGAGCAGTGGCAGAGTTCTCTTCGACAAGACTATAATTAATTTCTTAATTTTTTATGAGTGTAATTAATTTGAGAAGTTTCCCTTTTGTTTGTATATAATATATTTTTTCTTTTTATATTCTCATGTATAAAACGATTTAATTTTTTTTTAAATGAACCTTATTAAAAAGAAAAGACAAAACCAGAAACAAAAATTCAAAACAGAAAAAGATGAAAATCTCCCTAGAAAGGATCAAGGCGATTTGGGTGACTAGTGCTATATAATAGGGGGTAGTCTATTATCAACAGCAATAAAAAAAATTGGTGATCATTCCAAAAAACCTAAACTTCATAGGGTCGCACTGTGTATAATTTTAAATCTGTAAACACTTTTTTTTTAGTACATCAAAACGAGATAACTATAAATTTGTATAACTTTATACCATTTACGACAAAAATTTTACTTTTGAAATATATATATAAATTAATTTTTTTAGAATATCTTACTTATCCGATTTTTGGACAAATGATACCATTCAAAACTACAATTTCCCCTACGACAACAATTTTTTCTATATAATGCTAACAAAATGATAGAAATGCGTGCGAAAAAACTACTATTTTGTAAAAATTCAGTATTTAACAATTAAAATATAAAAGTAAAAAATAATTATTTAAAAGTTTTTTGCGTTTTTCTCAAAACTTACAGGACATATTAATATTCCAACCTTTATTTAGAAAACTAATAAATATTTAAAATAAAATAGAAAAATAAAATCTGTCACAAAATAATTTAGAAACATTATTTTGTATATTTTGGCTTAGATAATTTATTTTTCTATTTTATTATACAATCCAATAATTAATATAGAATTTAATTTAAATCTGTCATAATTCCAAATTTATTAAAATCCACCAAAGTCAAACAATTTTTATAATAAATGTATAGAAAATCAACATATTAGTAATTTTTAATACAGCGCAAATGGTACAGCTACAAACATTTGTTCTTCTAATAAATAAAATTAACTGGCCGACCATGTACATTTCGACAATCATTTATACCAGAGCAGCTATAACCTCTATATCGAGCGGCTATACCCGCTACATTAGTATACTTCTTGCAATGTTTGTAATATATTTTTGTACCATAATTTTTTTTTGTTTTTCTTGTGATATTTTTTTGAGATATAGTAATTTAAGAAAAATATCAATTATTTTATTTTAGTAATATGTTGCGATTGTGTAACCTCTTTGTAAATTGTGTTATTGACATTTGATTGTATTATTGTATTATTTTGTCTTTAATAGAGGTTACCCCTATATACAAATAAATAAATAAATAAATAAATATACCGAAATACTGAAATTCCGACGTGAAGTATAAATTATTTCATTAAACATCCTCGGTTTATCTTTGCAGGTCTTACGGCCCACTAAATGTTGGTCAGGGTATGTATTATTCCTCTTAAGTATGAGTTATAAATCTTTTAGCTTAATACTTCATTTAGTAACGTAATCGTTCACCCAATCCTTTTTTGTTTTTTTATGTTTTTGTTTTTTTATATTTTTTTGTTTTATTGTTTTTTTGTTTGTTTTTTGTTTTTTATGATTGCAAAATGAAAAACAACAACAGAATAAAAGTGATCGCAACCTTCCTTCAGATCTATAAATGAATATAGTCTATAGTTGAATACCGAAAGAATAGACAGTAATTTAATGCAAAGAATGCATGAAAAATGCTGACAGAGGTGCCATATATATGCAATTGCAATATATGCCCATCACTGAAAAAATCCCTTGTCCAGTAAGCTCCAAAAATGTCTCCAAACTTATTGTCAATATTGTCATATGGAAAATATCTTTTGTACAAGGCACTTACCTATCTTTAATTAGATTTGTATTAGTCTCACAATATATGGTTCTATGATTGGAGTAGAAATGATCAACAACGCAACAAACTCCAGTGCTGTCAGAACTAACAAAAATATAACCTACGATAGCGTAGGAAATATCAGGTTATCCTTGGACATTCGACTAGTGGCATTAAACCAAAACAAGCCATTACATTACATAAGTAGCTCAAATTTATGTTACTAAGCTGGTTGACAATAAGATGACAATCAACAAATAAATGATACAATCGCCTTTGCCGATTACTAAAAGGCGTACGATAGCGTTCTCATTCATAATGTACTTATGTTCATTAATACTTCATTATAAATTAAGTGCTTACCTCCAGCAACTTCTCCAAGTCCCTTGCTCTGGCGGCCAGGCCAGCGTTTTGGTTCTCCAAATCCTGCATCCTCGACGATATCGTGTCGATTCTCGTCCTGGTTTGTCTCAACTCGTCGAGAGCAGCGGAAGCGGAATTCTGGTTTCTATCGTTGGCCGCCTGCAAGTTTTTGATCTTCTGCTCATAGAGCAACTCGATTTCGTGGCGATTGTTGGCCATCTGAGATTCGTATTGATCCCTGAGATCTTGTAGGGCTTCTTGGAGCTTGGCTTCGTACTTTTCGGCGAGTCTGCCATCGATTTCGCTGATTTCGACTTGACGGCGGGTGCGGGTTTCTGTCAGCTCTTGCTGGTGCACCTAAAAGAGAAAGTAGATTATAGCGAAAGTCAGAAACAATATCACTAGAAACTCTACAAATAGTAATACATCAATGAAAATTGCCACCGATCTGAAATTTAGCACATTTAATATGTAACCATAAAAATCTTTGTATCATATTTTCTTTTAAACGCCTTGAAAATGTCTGAAAAATATTTAAAATTTGGAATAAAAATAAAAAGGTTAAAACAGTTCAATATTTATGGCGAAAAAATCAAAAGTACCCATTATAACTTCTTTTATTTTTGAATAGTTTTTCTTAATCAGATTGATATACAGGTTGTTGTTTCGAGGAAATACAAATTTATCAATTACTTTATTAGGCCGGAACTGGACAGCAGAAAAGTTGTTTAAGTCTTTTAATGCGTGATTATTGTAAGTAAAAAGTGAAAATAATTGTTTTAAGTTTAAATAAATGCAGATCTTTCGCGAATCACATACTGGATGGTGAAATAAAGATGGTTTTTGAACGAGTTTTAACGAACTCCAGAATGAAACTCGCATCTAAATTTGATATTAGGATGAAAAAGTCAATGTGTTCAAATAATTTTAAATTGGTAAACTTAGGGCTAAAGGCCAAATATTTTTATATATAGAGGATTTAGAAGTGAAGGTACGAAATAGTTTTATATGAACATGCTTAAGGGGCAAAGGGGCCCAAATATATTTACATAAATAATTGTTTGAAGTTTTATCCATAGATTTAACAAGAAAAAAGTAAATCAACAATTTTCAGCATTTATGCAGACACGTCATTGGTTTGTTAAAAATCCAAATTCTATTACCAAGTGTATTTTGTGTGACAAGAAATGTCATACCATTTGTGAACTGCTGTCATAGTTGTTGTATTTTGAGTATTCAACTTTAAGCAACGTCAGATCATTATTTCTCTATTTCTAAGGAATTTTATATTTTTATAAAATACAAAATAAATGCCATGAAAAAAATATATGTGCAATGTTGTTTTCGTCTATTTATAAACAAAACTTAATAAAAAAATTGTAGGTTGTGCACCAAGAGTGTATGATGGCATGAAGTTGACCCACTAATGAATATCTACAAATTTTAAAAATGAATTTAAGGTTAGTATAATAAACTATTTTAACCAACGACAAACAACTACTGGACTAATTTTGTTTACAAAAATTGAATTGCAAACATTCATGGTGTCATTTTTAATAATAGAGGTAACATGACAGGAAATACATTTTACAGGTAAAATTTATTGACGTTAACAGAATCGCACTCATGACCTTCTATTGGATTTAAGATGCAGCAGTTTACTTCAATGTATTAATATATTGTGTTATTCTCAATAATTTATGTTTGGTTTGCCTTCTGTCAATGATTGCTTATTGAGAAAAATTTACCTTGCATTTTCTAGTCTTGGAAACAAGCGGTATTCTGTCTGGTTTAGGGCTAGGAAGAAGTACCAGCGAAAATATTAACCCCTTGCTCAAGACACTTTATGAATTTGATATAATTAGAGCTGGCAATAGAAAAGTTACCATCAAAGTACAAAACTGTATTTGTCAACAAATATAATCCAAAGAAAAACATTGAGGTAATTTAATATTTGGATGTGTGAAATAGATATAAGTAAATGAAATGTTATTGTAGGATGGATACTCCTCAATCTTTGTTCTCTAATATATTAGCACTTATTTTTAATCAAAACAATCTGAATTTGATATAAATAATAAAATTGTACCATTTTAGATACATATATTTAGATAATGTAACCAATATTGTTGGTTGTAGCAGAAATAAAGATGACCTTTCCACCCTCGCAAAAAAAGATTGATTCAAACTCAACGGTATTTTTTCAAAAATTAATTATGATGTTATGAAATATATTTTATGATGTAAGGGTTGTTGTTTAATGAATATGCTGTATATAATTTATTTTAGTTCTATAAATTTATTTTATATAAAGCCTACAATAACTTAAAAAGTCAGAAAGTTTAATTTTTCTGTAAACTTATTTGACACATTCGTTTCTTTTTTTAGATTACCTGATACAGTTTTATCTTACACTAGTTTAAGTTCCTTTAAGAACTAGGTCACATTAGTTTTATTTATCTGATTTATGTTATTCACAAATGTAATCTACATAACTTTTGTTGTATATATTTGTAAAATTTAGAACTACCTTTTTCCCAAAATTATGAATATAATATATCGAAACATATATGTAAAACTTAATTGTTTATTTCATCAGATAGTATTGATTTGAGGGGAGTTCAAAAACGAAATTAATAGATTAGTAACATCCATTCACACTTATGCTTAAGTGCATTTGAATCCTTTTAATAATTTTGTTGTTTTCAATCATTAAGAATATACCATAAGTTGTTTTGTAAGAGGTTACAATAATTTTAGGAGATTTTTTATTTCAGCCGTATCTTTTCATGGTTAATTTTGACTTGATACAAACATTTTATATGTAATGTGGTGAAATAAATATATATTTTTCACTTTTAATAAATTAAACACGTTTACTAGTTTTCATTGTTATTTATGTTCCTTTTTACTATAAACATTTTATGTGATGTAGTAAAATAATTTTTTTCCACTTTTACTAAATATAAACACGCTTAAAGTTTTGCTTTTTATTTTCCTGCTCACTATAAATTGGTTGATATATTAGTTAAAGAAAGGACTTAAAAAAACCACACATATAATATAAACAAAATAGTATTGTTTTGTCGAATATTTTAAGTACGGACCTATTTACTCCTTCCTGCGCATTCTCGCTAATCTCAAAAATAAAAAGACTATAATAAATTTTTATGGTTTATTACATAGCCTAACATTCTAGATCTGTGGTTCAAACCCACCTACTCTTGTTCTAGGCACAGTCGCTCTTCCAATTAGGCTATCACTGACAGAGATTTCCGAATTGGCAAGATGACAGATTTTTTTTCAATTTTTGATTAGATTTGTTTTATCCTTGGAGGTTCAAAAAGAATTTTCATTATTTCATAGGGGTAATACTGGGATTTGTTTGGGAATTTCCTGGCAATTTAATTTCATATTTTTCGGATATCTAAGTTTTCGGACCTTTAAAACCGATTTTCTCACGGTATTTGTTTGCGTTGTTACGTATATTGAAAACTTATTAATGAATGGATTAGTCTAGTAGTTTTTCGTCGTTGATTTTCAACAATTTACAAATTTACAAAATAAAAAAAAAAGATTTTAATTAGTTTTTAATCCTGGATTTGAACCCCGGACCTTTCGCATGTCAACTTAGTACTTTACCTCTGCACTAATGAGACAACTAAAATTGGTTTTAGATAGTTTTATTAAAATTTACAATTTATTTCTAAATATAGACGGATATTTTGTGGAATGTTATTATTTATCGATTCTTTCTTCACAAGAATCACTCACTTTTAATTATATTTAATCTGAATAACTAAACAATATAGTACTGACAATAATTAGTTTGAAAGAATTGCCACTTGTTTAAATTAAAAAAATAGCCCGGTCACGAAATATGATTTGTGATTGGTGGATTTTATATTCGTATAGTGTTCTTACTAGAATAGATATAAAATTATCATCGTTCAGAAGAACACAATTGCCTACTTTTTCGTTCGATAGATAATAAAAAAAAACATTTTTAGTAGAATTCCAATTGAATCTATTATTTATTCATAAAAAATAAATAAAAAAAATTTCTATCCAAAAATTATTATTATTTGATAAATTTTTCAACAGTTTCCAAACAGAATTATTAAAATTTAGTTAATTAATAGCACCCACATATTATTCTCATGGTAACAACTCATGCGATTGTCATTGGGATTTAATATATTACAGACATAAGTATTTTACGAGGTATTATAACTATTATTTCGATTGAGAAGAATCGATAAAAAAATCGACAAGGCCGCAATCGAACAGAAAGGTTACACTTTGTTAATAGCAGGTGGAAGTAGGTTAATTTTTATTTACTTATGCCGCGTTTGAGAATCCACATCGGATGCATCTGAGATGTGAATTTTTTATCACGTGATAGAGAATTAGATCTGAATGTAGATGTAATAAACAAACGCTTTAGACTTTATTTGGTCACGTGATAAAATGTCAATGACAAGTTAAAAGTTTATACTTATTAAATTTGACTTTTAAGACTACAAATTAACCTAAATTTGAAATATAAACAAAAATTAAACGAACTAATCACTTTTATATTCATAACAAAGGATAAATTGACAAACAAGACTTCACAGAACACTTACTTTCTGGCATGGAACGAACATCTCATTCACATCTCATTTCAAATCGAGATGTAAAAAATGTAATCTGAACAGGTGACAGGTACATCTGGGATAAACAAACGCAGATGTAGATGTAGTAGATGTGTCCGATGTGGATAAAAAAACGCTCGAGATGTAAAAAATGCATCCGATGTAGATTCTCAAACGCGGCATTTAAATGGAAGAATAAAGGAAAATAATTCGAGGAAATTTATTTCATTTGATACATATTATTGTTTATATAGTTGAGCAAAATGACTACTAACAAAAAAAATGCTCGGACGTGTCGATCATGTTTTTTAGCTGCCTACATTTTAATGTATGGTCCGACAGTCATCATTTGGCGCCTTGGCGGAGTAATTCGTTGGATATTGCCGCCTATTGTGGGTTTAGTGGCGTGTTAATATTATAGGAATTATATTTTATACCAAATAACAAAGTATTATTTTTAACTATATTATCTTTGGAACTTTTGCTCTTCACTTGATAAAGTGCAGGGTACTTTTCACCATATCAATTATTAATATTTCATCCTCTTCAAAAGAATATTTTATCACTTTATTATAATACAAATTATCCTAACCTCACTTGACAGTCTACTGTATGTTCAGTTAAACGAGTACGTCTAAATCAAACTCAAATTGATTTCACCGTAATCAGTCGACATACACTGCTGTGTGCCTAACTGTGCCGACTCTTAACAAACCATTC